TACTGATGCCTCAGAGGTGATGCTTCTTAAAGAGGCTTCCTCTCGGCTGGAGGTACCCAATACAATAACCTGGGGCTCTCCCAGAGCGTAACCAGGTGTGGGATTCACCCAAATACTCTGAGGCTCAGTGTCAATGAGCTCTTCCACGGCTTCTCTATGGATATCAGTTTGGTACACCACACCATTAACTCCTTTATGGGCTGTGGGCAAAACTTCTGCTGAGTGTTTAGCCTCAATGATGCCTTTTACCAGCGGTGGGTTAATTTTGGCAGCGACAGGTGCGCCCTGGACTAATAGCTGCTCCACATTCCCTCTATTCAGCACAGCAGAAACCATGTCCACCCCATTGTTACCCACAGAGGCATCTTTTATTAATGCCAACAAGCTTGTTGCCCATCTGTCCCAGTCCATCGTCCCTGTGATCCCATCAGAGGTACTACGCAGTACCACTCCAACCGCTGAAGGAGACACAGAGGGACAGAGTGGCTCTGTATCAGACCCATTACCTATATCTTCATTATCCATATCACAATGGGAGACTCCTTTTCTAGGCACAACAGGTTGCAATTTCCTACTCTCACCACCGTGACCTGGTGGCGTGTCATTCACTACAAAAACTTTTGCATTAGTGGATTGCATTAACCCATCATCATCATGAATACATTCATACCTTTTAGATTCACCATTGCCACACTGAAATAACAAATTTTCACTCAATTCAGATACACTCTGGTCCACCAGAGCAACATCATAGTTATCATGGGTTACCTTAACCACCGTTGCTAGGGGAGATAACACATCCTGCTTAGTGGTCACCCCTACTACATTTAATTCAGCATTCTGTTTATATGACATTGGTGCAAACCCAATATCAGTACTCTTCACATCGACATTTTTAACCGTTGCCTTCCCACTAAAAGCATTATACAGAGGCAAGTCTTTCTTACAATCACCAGCAGTGGGTTTCCCAACTGGGAGTATCCCAAATTTATAGCAGAGAGTCTCAAAGTCAGTCTCAATCAGTGCATTAGTATCTCTCACATTTATCTCAAAAGTACCAGTCTTACCCACCACTGTAACAGGCTTCACCTTCTTCACTTGAGTGCGTGGGATCTGGATCCTTTCTGTCATCTCCTCTGCTTGGCTTTGGCCAGCCAGTTCATCCATTAGGCTATAGGATGATACTGTGGCAGGCACTTCTGACTCCTTGGCACCCCTTGCAGGCACAACAGGTACTTCACTGTTGCTAGAGGTGGCTGCCAACATTTTTAAACATGAATCTGGGCTTGCAGATGAAGACTTTTGCCCAGTAGCACCCTCATCAGTGGTGTTCCATAATCTGGGGCAGGTAAAGATACCATGCCCAAACTGACCACATTCCAGGCAGGGTATGGTTCCACAGATAACCTTCTTGGGATACGGAAACAACATCTCCCTTGTAGCCCCTTCTCCTGGTTGGCAGGCTTTCTCCTGTGATATGGGAGATGGCACTCTCCCAGCTGAACTTTGTGGGTTCCTCCAGATGCGCTGAACTCTCATCTCTGCGTTGCCACAATCCTCTGCAGACGACACTTCTCTCACAGGGTCCGCAGGTCTGAAGTCACATGTGTTGCTATGGGCAACCACATTCTTCTGAAACTTTTGGGCAGCCTGCTGCTCCTTCCTGGAACTCCAAGCAGGCTTCCCAGTTGCATACCCAGACCTTTGTCTGGTTGTGTCACCTTGTACTGGAAGCTGGGATAATGGGCACTTGGAGACAGTGTGCCCCCATTCACTGCACCGCAAACAGCGCTCTTGCGGCAGTATCTTGGCCGAACTTCCAACACTGCATCCTCTTTCAGGCTTAGTACTCTGCACACAGAAAACTGGTTTCCTTTCAGCAGCGTTGCCAGGGACAACAGCATGCACTTCCCACTGTGGCAAACTTTGTGCAGCAATGTATGGGGCTTGTTCTGGTGGTAACAACCCCTCCAGCCACAGGGCTCTGTCTCTCATTTCAGAAAATCTTGCTTCTTTTTTGAGTTTTGACCGCCCCATCTTTGCAGTCACTCCACAACACTTTTGCACAGTCCAGGTACACAATGGAGCACTGTCTCTTTAAGGCAAGTTCCTTTTCTCTTGCAGGATCTCCTCACCTGCACACACAGATAGTGCAGAGTCATGCACCAAACACAGTTCAACACATGAACTTACTTCATTGCTGGGATCTCCAGTTCTGCCCGCATCCTCCACCATATGTGGGACCTCGCTTCAAGTGGTAGAGCTTCTTCAAAGCACACGGCAACTCGCTTATTTTTTAAGAGCCTGTTTGCCCACTTTTATTTAAATGTCAGTTCAATAACATAAAGGTTTCCCACGCAGGGGTATCCACCATCACACGAATTCAAATGAACAGTATTCAGCCTCCTGCCTTGTACGCAGTTTTAAGTCTGCCTCCTGCAGACTCTTCCCAAAGTATGGCACTAGCACACAGCTAGTCCGGCTTCCACCTCTCCTAGGT